TTTGCAGTAACTAACCTTGTAACAAATAAAAATGTGTTCAGATCACCTCTGGGTAGGGGGGAGTCTGTTTTTACTACTGAGGGGGTCAGATGTCATTAAGTGCTTTAAAAATATGCTCTCTCTTCAACCTGCAGGAGCATCTCAAAGTGATTGTTTTTGCTATGCAAGGCTCTAATTAAAGGTCTGGTTTTCTATTAGTCTCTTGTTTTCCTGGCCTGTAATGTCACATATCAGTCAGAACATTTTGTTTTAAGCAGAAAGCTCACCTGTAAGGGCCCAGCCAGTACACATACTGTTCTGAGATATTTTTAGTTATGGATGAGGTGGGATTTTAGAACTGTATACAGGAACAAGGCATCAGCATCTCTGGTGTGGGTACAACCCACTTAGGTGTCTTCAAAGCGTCTCAAAGGGCAAAATTTGACTGTGCTTCAAATTAATTTTCAAAGATGAGGGGTCAACTTTGTCAGAACAGTTTCAGGTTTAAAAAATATTTAAAAATTGACATTTTCTGTGTCCAGTTTTATCTCCTCAAAAAGTCCCCCCAAGCTAAAGCCAGTTACATTTAGCTTGGTGCGTGTGCTGGTTCTTCTCAAGAATTCCATCTCTGCTAATGTAGATGTGATACACACTTTCAGCAGTCAAGTTCTGCTGATGACCAGACATTAACTTTAAAAATGAGCAAGTAAATTACGGTGTAAACATCACCGGGAAGGAACCTTTGTTCCTGATAAACACTGTTCAGGCTCTCAGGCGTCAGAGGGACCTCACCTCCTTGTCCAGTCTTCCATAGCACCTCTCCCAAAGGTTATCATCTTGACAGGAACCTGGTTCTCCCACGGGAAAACTTCTGTCTCCAAGTCTAACCAGCAAAACTGCTGACAAAATGATGCCTCAGCAGCTGGCAGTGAATCACAGAATCATAGAATTTAGGACCTTACAGATCATCTAGTGCCAACCCCTGCCCTGGGCAGGGACACCTCCTCACTAGATCAGGTTGCTCAAGGCTCATCCAGTCTGGCCTTGAACACTGCCAGGGTCAGGGCAGCCACCACATCCCTGGGCAACCTGGGACAGTGTCTCACCACCCTTATAGTGAGGGAGACACTGTCACTGACATTCCCTGGATGCCCCTCTGCCATTCATTTTCTTTGCCTGGCCCTTCCCTCCATTTCCCCCATCTCTGCTTTGGGTAGGTTATCTGACCACGTGGGTCACCTCCAGAATGGTTTTTGGGCATCACTGCAGCAGGAGAGCAGCAGGTGCCACAAGAGCTCTGCAGGCGAGACGCAGCAGCTGTCTGCAGGTTAGTTGGTACTGCTGTGAAACATCACAGCCCAACTCACTGGTGTGCTTTATCTGAGGGATAAACTGAAGTCTGAGCTGCTGCTGCTTCTCCTTTTCCCTGCTGTTTTATAGGTTTTTGTAAGAAACATTGTGTTTTACAGAGTTAAATGACACAGTAACTGAGAAATATATCTTTATTATTAGAATGTTTATATTCTAAAAACTTTTTCTGGGGTTACAGTACAACCCAATTTCTTCAGAATTAACTAACCTGGTGTTTGTAAATTAGGATTTGAAAAGTTTAAGAACATGCAACTTCTTTTACTCTTTTCCTCCTCCCCAAAGGACAACTTACAGTCAAGATTTTGGCGCAATAAATAATAAAATAAACATCTCATCTGTGAACTAGTAGTTGCACTTAACTTTGGTGAATAACAGAGTAGATAGGCATTTAAAAATAAAAATACTCTTTCAGTGTCAAGTGGATAAGGAAACGGATTAATATATTTTACTTTATTATCTTTCTAAAGTTCACCTTTACTATCTTCAAAAAAGGTCATTTTTTCAGGTTTGTAAAAGGATGTGGGAAGCAATAGAAAAAGCTCAAGGATACTTCTATTTTGTAGCTTGCCTAAGAAAGTTGTAACACAGAGTCTGACCCAAGTCCATGCAACACAAAGAACAACTCCTTTTCACCACACACAATGCCGAGCATAAGGCCAAGTGTGGCCTTGTGATGTACTTAAATAAATACTAAAATATCGTTACAACCTAAAGACCTGAATTGATTTTACACTGTGACTTTCTACTGAAACAGTGTTGAGAAACTTTGAACATACACCCGATTGCTCCATATACACTGTTTAAAATAAAAGTGAGGATTAATACTCTCTTTCTTCACTCTGCTACTTTCTGGGAGCTCTGTACACCAACAAATGTATGACATCTGAAGTACCTGATCTTAGCTGACTGATCAGTCATCCTTTGCTTTAGACATATTGCAGCTCGGATGCTTATTGCAGCAGTAATCCTAGTGATGCTCTGGCTTTTAACACTCAGTTCTGCTCACAGACATAGTTATAAAAAATGAAAAACATTTTTCACAAATCTTTGTGCACATACTGTAAAATCACCTTTACATAAACAATTTACATCTGTTATGAGCATTTAAAAATAAATCACACAACTTGTCTTGCCTAGTCTTTCTTTTTCTTGAGAAGACAAATCTCGTCGGTAACATCATCAGGATGTTCATATATGTAAACATGGCATGAGGATTCATGTCACTAGAAAGCTGTACACACAAAAAAATCAGCTTGATAAATAAATACTCAGATAAATAAGGATCCTTTTAATTGGCACACACCACTGTAAACACACATGTCCTGTCCTGCAATCATCTCGAAATCACTTGCGCTTGGGGTTTAGTTGCAAGTCAGGGATCTCTCAGCCCTGTAAAGATTCATCAGATGAAAACATGAAGGATGTTAACAAGGCTATGATCATAGCCATTTAGACCTCTCATGCCTAGAACAGAGTGCAAGCATTGAACGTGACGCCATGCCAAGTAACATGTCGCTTTGGCCTGTGACTTGCTGTGCCACAGCTGATAACCTGCCACTGGCACTTGGTACTGAGACCTTCCCTCTGGCCCAATGCTGTGTTTGTCAGGGCTCCAGGACTAGCTTCTGCTCTCCTTGCTAAGTGACACCAGAGGAGCCCAACCTTGTACCAACAGACAATGTGGCTGCTGGCAGGGTCGAGCGGTTTGGTGTATGCAATAAAACGTGGAAATGTGTATGACTGGGCTGACAGCAGAAAATCCAGGGTAGTAACCTACTGCTGCAAACAGCCTTCAAGCAAGTTAAGTAGGCCTTTTGCATTTAAGTATGTCTGTGCAGGTAGCAGTTAGTCATTGATCTTACACCTACCTAAGTGGAAAGATTGAATATTTAGGTGCTGATTAAATGGAACTTCAGCAACAACATAGATGGAAAATAAATTACCAGGCCACATGCTGCCACTGAAATAATTAAACATACAGCCACAGTACTGCCCAGCAAGATAACTGCAGTCATTTAAAATAAGCCCTAGGAATGACTAAATAAATAAATAAATACATGAATAAATATAAAAACCTCAGTGTAAACTGAATAAAATGTCATTTCTCTTACAGTGCCCAAAGAGAGAATGGTGTTACTAAATAATATAAATCTTCCATATGTATGCATTTCTGTGTATTATACCTGACACATCTTGGCATGACCAGATGGATAGGAAAAAGGAGGATGACTAACAGGATTCAATATTTGTTGCGTTGAAGCCAAGTTACTGCGTTGCTGTATGCTGCTAACCGTTCCTATAGCGGCTTGGCCTTTTTACCCATCTTTGATTTTGCACTCACTTTCCTGGCAGAGCAGATTGGTTCCCCTTTCTTTTGTGCTCTCCATATTTCTCTTGGGCAATCAACAGGTTCATAGAAGCATTTCACTGGCTGCAAGCTGGCTTTTTCATCCTTTGATTTCTTCATCAGGATTCTTCCTTTTTGAAAGGAGTGAGGCTTTGCGTCAGGGATATTATATGAAGCATGTTGACTTCCTCGGCTCCTGGAGTTAATAATAGTGATTATTAATATCTACTATTCAATCCTGCAAAGTGACAGGTCCCCAAAATATCCCAAACCCATACACTTTTGAAGACAAAACCAGCCTTGTTTTACAGGACCAGGCTTCAAGTTAAAAACGGAGTCGGCAAGATGAATTACATTTCTCAGTACTCAAAAGCATTCCTCACTAAAATAATCCCTACATGTGGTACTGGTGGAGTCTTCAGGCATGTTCATCTACATTTTTATTCTGATCAGCATTCTGCCTGCTGATTTTGTAGTGCTGAGACCTTACTGAGGTATACACTTGGTGACCTACAGGGATTTAAAAGATGCACACATTCACAGCAACCTTCTGCAAAGAATGAACATCCTGTGGCCTTTGGAAGACCACACAGCACCTATAACAGTAGAAAGTGGGTGCAGGAACTGTTAGGAACTTCTTGGTAGGACCTCAGCTCTGTGCCCAGGGCTCAGGTTGCTGCAGCTACTAATGGCCAATATCTCAGGAAACCCCACACACTGCCTTTGTGCTGACCATCTAAGGAAACTTTAGCTTTGCTTTTAGGCTTTGATTTGAAATGGGAGAAGAGGAATACAGAAACTGGTGGGAAGAAGGGTATGAAAAAGTCCAAAGTAAACTGAATTGTTTGTCCTCTCTGTGATGGTTCAAGCCTAGCAGGCTTTGCTGAAATTGGTGATCTCAGGTGGAGTGACCACACAGTGCCTGTTGCTGCAAAGGCTGAACCATGCACTCTGCTCTGAAAGTTTACATTGGATCTGCAGTTCCAGTTTAGCTAAGTAAGATCATTGCAGTCCCTCTTAACATAATCCTCAAATGTTTCACAGCAAATACATGTAGTGTAACAGCAGAACTATGAACATAAGGCACCAGCTCATGTCTGCCCAGATACTGTGACTGAAGAACAGATGTGCTGATGTACAAGTCGATCTCTTAAGGGACCCCACAGGGCTATTTTCCATAGCTCGTTATTTCTGAAAACCATGGATCTAGAGTATTACTTCTTCCAGGAGTTAAATGATATTGCACACTTGACAAAGCCAGTTTTGGAAAAAGCTGTGGCTATTGGAGTGTGTAAAGTGCAAGGCCTCTCCCGCTCTTTAAAAAGACCGTAAGGGTTTCATGAAAGCCTCTGTATTTGTTGGTGGGAGGCAGTGAGGGCCAGCTGACAGCACAGGAACTGAGCCTTACCTACATAAGGCATACATAACAGCATTACCTGGTTGGCAGCTTTGCCAACCAGACTTCACTAGGGGGAAGTTTTGGGGGGTGAAATGCTGTGCAGGTCCAAGCTGGAGCTTGCAGGTGCTGTGCCATGCTGGCCTGGTGTAGGCCTGGCCTCTGACCCCTTTCAGGGGGTTAGCAATGACTTGTGTAAGAAAACAAGTGTTGGACACTCCAGTTTACAACCAGTTCTTGGGCATTGCTTGTTACAGTCCATTACCTAGTTGCTGTTAAAAGATGCAGTGCTGTTGTTTTTCTTACATGTTGTTATAGTGAAAAATTTACATCATTTGTTCCCAAAGCACATGCAGGCATAATTGCAGGTGATTGCAGGTGATGTTAGGCACTCCTCTGCTGCAGTGAATGATGCTATTACAACCAGAAGGTGGTCAAGGTCAATGTGATCAGAGACGAGTGCCTCACGGGGTTAAACTGTATTTCAATTGAAGAGTTTATGGTAGAGAAGATGGATGCCTGTACTAATTCACAGTCAGGGTAAGAAGGTACCCAAGATGGATGAACATGCAGGTCAATGCACATGAAATGCAATCCTGCCAGTTCCAGATGTGGGAAATGCTTTTTCATTGAAAGCAGCAGGTCCTCAATACAGATGACTGTGAGAGTCTGAAATTCTACTCAAACATATTCCTAGTCTGTTGCATTATGAAGTCCCAGACCTGTGGTGGTGCAACAAGTTTCAAGGCGATGGGAGAAAGACCCAACCTTGTGTCCTTACCAGGAAAGGTTGCCTTGAAGAAGGGTGCACTGGCACTGCCTGACCGTCACTTGGCCAAGCAGCACACATGATGCTCCAAACCACCTGCTGAGACTCATGACCACGTCACAAAGACATGGAGACCAGCCCCAATTAGTTCTGCTGCTCCCAGGACAGCTGCCTGAAGTAATCTGAGATGATGTTAGTGCCCATGCTTTGTCAGGGCACTTGCTTGCTTACTTGTGATTTTTAAGACGTCAGCATCACTGTCAGTTAGGAAATGACAACTGTCTCTTCTACCTATGGACTGCTAAAGGTATTTTCAGCTGAAACTTGGCCTGTATTTATCAAAGAGATTCAACTCC